AAGTAATAAAAATAAGGTACAAAAAAACATATATAATAATAATAATAATATTTATTCATACAAAAAAAATACAATAATAAGTAGGATATAAACGCAGCTTGTCATATTTAACTAATATTATAAACAACAAAAAGAAAAAAGGTTTAAATACCTACACAGATTTAAAAAAATATATATATAAAATTGTATAAATAAATAAATTACTCGATAAGCGAGTGAACGCTTGTTTCGAAATAAAACAATAACTAAAAAGAGATACTTAACTAATAACTAAAACTAAATTAAAATTACAGAAAGAACATTCGAATTTAAAATAAACTTATTTATAAAGATAGTTAAATTTAGTTTTTTTTTTTTATTATTTTTATTTTATTTATATTATTAGAAGTAACGAAGTGGTAATTTCAAACTCCTAACTTACGAAGTGATTTTGAATCAGGCTTCGAGCATTTTCAAGAATAAACTCTTTCAATTTTGTTTTAAAATGGGTTGTATTTTTTATGTCTTTAATGTGTTCTGGTATCATATTGTAAAATTTGGGTGCCAAATATAAATATGACTTTTGTGTAATTGTTTTGAGCATCAGTGGGGACACAAAATGATGTTTCTGACGTGTATCATAGTCGTGGCTTGGAAGATGGGAATACTGTTTGTTTACATGATATTTTGTTGTGGTACAGAAAAAATAGAGTTGTCTTAAATCAAGAATCTGTGTGTCTTTATATAAGGCATCGGAGGAATATCTGGCATTTTTAGCGTAAATTAGCTTTAAAAAGCGTTTCTTAGTGACTTCTAAGGAATGTATATGGGTATTCAACGCTGCACCCCAGATAACGATGGCATACCTAAGATGGCTTTCAACTAATGAAAAGTATAGTGTTTTTAGATACTTTAGCGGTAATAATTTTGTTAATTTTCTAAATTTATATAGGATACTTCTAAGTTTATTGACTAAGTATGTAATGTGTAAATTCCATTTTAAATGTTGATCTATTATTACGCCTAAGTATTTTATTTTTGATTCTGGTGATATGAAAAAGATTTCCTTGTTAACCTTGATTTTTAGTTGGTTAAAAGGTGGAGCGCCGGTTGAATTGCAACTGAATGGCAAGTAGTTTGTTTTTTCAAAGTTTACTGTTAATATTTTGCTATCGAGATATCTTTTAATATTTGAAAAGTCTTGTTCCGCTTTAACTTTTACCTCCATCCAGCTATTTGCATTATAAAAAATTGCCATATCATCCGCAAATCCAATTATAGTACTACATATGTATCTAAAGAAAATAACTCATTAATATATATATTAAATAGCATAGGACCAAGGATGGACCCTTGAGGTACACCATACTTTATGGTTTCCGCGCCACTGCAAACATTACCCACTCTCACAGTCTGGAGTCTGTCAGTCAGATAACTTTCAAAGAGTTTGTTGCATTTTCCCCGTATTCCGATATCTTCCAGTGACTGTAAAAGTAGGCGGTGACTGACCGTATCGAACGCTTTTGATAAGTCAATAAATATACTTAGGCATGGTTTACTCTCATTTAGGGATTCTGTGATTTTTGTTGTAAGTTTTAAGATGGCATCCTCGGTACTTTTTTTTTCCCGGAATCCATATTGACAGTCTGAAATTATTTTATACTTTTTGCAATAAGATTGAAGACGATTTTTTAATATTTTTTCGAAGATTTTTGTGAAATGTGTTACTAGACTTATAGGTCGATAATTAGAAATTTCTGTAACATCGCTTTTTTATGAATTGGTATAATTATTGAACTTTTAAAGATTGATGGATAAATTGCTTGGTCAATACATTTGTTTATCAAGAAACATAGTGGTTCTATTATGTAATATGAGATTGCTTTTATAGTTTCAGCTTTTATATTATCCATCACCAACAGCCTTTTTGTTTTTTAATTCGCCAATAACATTAAGAATTTCTGTTCTATCAACAGAGCTCAAAACAAATGAGTTTTGGACGGATTTTCTTTGGTAATTATATGTTGGATCCACTTTTATATTTTTCGCAAGATTCTGTCCCATGTCAACAAAAACTTTATTAAATTCATTTGCTATTTCTTGTTTATTTGTTAATAATTCCCCAATACTGTTTTTTATTTTGACAATTTCTTTCGGTTGTTTGTTTGTGTTACTTATATCCTGTACCACGTCCCACAACTTTTTAAAATTGTTTTTATCACTTTCAATTTTTTGTTTATAATAATTAAATTTTGTTTTTGTAATTAGATTGTTTATTTTATTTTTATAATTATTATAATTTCTTTTTAATTCGAAATTGTTGGGATATTTTTGAATATTCAGAAATATTTTATTTTTTTTATTAATTGAAGTGAGCAGTCCATTTGTCATCCAGGGTGCAATTTTATCTCGTTTTCTTATTAATTTACGGTTCTCTGTGCATTTTACAAGACCATTTTGAATAATGTTAACAAATGTGTTTGCTGCAATGTCTGGATTTTCTAATGCATATACAGAGGACCATGAAATAACTCGAAAAATATTGTTGATAATACAAGGGTAACCGCGAAAGACAGAACGTCATAATTAAACATGAACAGTTAAATTTTGTAACATAAAACAGTTAAAACATAATATTTCTACATATTTTTTAATTTTTACATGACCAAATATCCTAAAAATATCGTCGATTTGAATTCTAAAAATCCTTGTTCATATATATGTCCCAAAATTTTCCAGCGCCATTTTCCAAAAATGTGTAATATCGACTTATTACTTTTTAAGCGCCGACCACAGAATTTATGTATTGTTTTTAATAACGTAGACCCCTTCAAGACTTTGAAGAAATATTAAATTACAAAAATTTACCCTTAGGTGAATTTTGGGTTAACATCTTTATATAAAATAAAAAAAAACACTGGATGAACCAAATATTTAAAATTTAAAAAAATTAATTTGTGGTTTATTTTCATTACCCCATTCTTTTGCAGCAGCAGAAATAATTTTCTCTCAACTAAATAATATTAAAGTTTTATTGTTAAATGTATTTAATAATAGTTCTGGTACATTTATGTTACTTTAAAATATTATCTATTACGATTTTATTACCTTTTGGTTCAAAATTCTATTACCAGGGCTGGTATATCTAAGGGGGTCGCGACATAGACCCAGTAAATGGATGAGGGGGTGACTGAGGCTAGGGGGGAAATAGTAGTCAGCTTAAGTTGGCAACACTTTTCTGACGTTCGTTTGAACGAGCATCGAGCATAATAATGTCAATATGGTACAAGTGGAATGAACCACTGTTTTCCTCGTCGTAGTCCAATGTCGAATTAAAACTAAAATCATTTTGTACTTTTTTATATACCAAATTATGCAATTTGTTTCCATTTTATTTTAATGTTACATGTGTTTGTGCTGCGGTAAATAAGTGTTCATGTGAAAATTATCTCTTAAACTACATTGTGATTGCACTCATCTCAAAACTGAATGCTGTAAATCCAGGATTTAAATCTTTCATAGTGTTGCTTGGGATAAATTGTAAAAAAGGTGTTGGACAAAACGTTTACAACCTAAAATTGCATGAAAAACATGATAGAAGAAGGAATTTTACCTTTATGACATTCTCTTTCAACATTTTTAAGTGACTGTGGTTTGGTGAATGGACTGTTACCACAGTCAAAAGATTCAAAGTAAAAAAAAGTGACCAAGTTCTAATAAGAATACATAAGTTGAATATGAAAATGTAATTACTTGATTTAAATGTGATTTAATTAAGAGTTAAATAGAGGTTTCATATAAACAAAGTGCTGTAAAATGTTAGTAAATGCAAAACCATTATTAAAGAGGAATTAGTTATCATCAATAAGATATTTTGTAGTAGCTGGTCTCTATAAATAATAAACTTGAAAGACTGAATTAGTAGTCACTTTTACACTAGAAGTAAAAACAAAAAAAAATGTGTGGTTGAGACTAATTTATGTATTTAATAAAAACATATTTAACATAAAAGCAGGTGTTATTTGAAATGTTTTATTTTAGTTTAATAATCTTTATAAATTGTGGGTACATTTGATCCGAATCTTGCAAATACTATAAAATGCATATGCTTCTATATGGTTAGTATTGGAGTAGAAGCACAAAAGTTTTGAATAAAAATATAGATACCGGAATACTTTGCTTGATTACTAAACTTTGGATGTTTTTGTTGTAGTCTGCTGTTAACACTATTGTCCTGAAATATTAAAAAAGCTAGACAAAGGTTTGTCCAACTCTTTTGTCAGCTTTGTTAATCTATGCTACTGTTATTCTGCATGCAGACATTTTTTACTGGAGATTTTCTCTAAGAACTGTATTCAGTTTCAAATTTCGGCCAGTTTTAGGAAAGTACCTCTGTTATAAAGGTATTTCAAATCCATCCTTTGTAAGATGTAGACAACAAATACATGCTAAAATGTATAGAAAACAAATGGCAAGATATTACACAAAATTATTTAAATTAACTAAAAACATACAAATGAAGTGAATAATACCTACCAACAATTTAAAAAGACCTAAAATAAATAGACTTAAGGGACTGGAGCTCTAAAAAAGGGAGCAATAATTTGTTATGCATTATCTATAAGAAAATTGTCATCTCTTCAATTACCTTTTAAAATAAACAAAACTAAAACAGCACAAAATTAAAAGTGATCTACTTTTCCCGACGTATTTTATGTACATTTGAGATTAATAATTTATTAAATTGAAATATTTTATCCTAAAAAATATGGGCATTTTATAATGGAAATGTCATTTAAGAAATGACATTGATTTTTTTTTCTTATATTGGTAAACCTGGCGACTACAAGTTGCCACGTTGCCAGATCAATGGCGACTACTATTTCGAAAAAAATGGCGTCCAAAATGGACTCCTATGTCGCGACCGTGGTCGCGACCCCCTTAGATATACCAGCCCTGTTCTATTACGAAAAAAATAATAGGTGTGGCAACACTGTCTGACACAGCCCAAAAAAAGAAAAGAAGAAGATAACAACATAACCTCTATTTTAATGGTGTGGTTATAGGTGTTTATTTATTTATTTGTAAGTACTTACTTTATTATGTTACACTTAATAAAATGAATTCATAAAAACTATTTTTTTAGTCTTTGCAATTAGATACATAAACTATGGATGATTCGAGCTCGGTTATAATGGAGCCCCGACAGCCGAACCCTAACCTAATGGATTCTAATACAACAAATAAGAGAAACAACAGGAAAAGAAAGAAATCTTTCCTAAAAAATGCTCGAAAATATGCGAAAAAGGGACATTATGGGAGAGGATCTCAATTAGAAGAAGATACATATCATTATTTTGTAAAAATTTTGGAAACGTTCAAAGAGGGTTTTGATTCTGAAGAGGATAAAATCATTTTCGCAAACAATGTCTTTGATCAAACAGATAAACAAGAAGTTAATTGTTGTTGTAATCAAGTAGGATGTAGAGTTGTTGAGATGCTGTTACCTTTTGCCCATGATGATGTTGTGAAACGATTTATTTCAGTTTTTAGTGAAGAAATAAGACCGTTGAGTAGTGACAGATTTGCTAGCCATGTTCTTGAGTCTCTTGTTATTCAAAGTTGTAAAAGAGCTTTAATGGAAAAGACAAATGAAGACATGAAGATTTATTACAAAAATTTTGCAATAAAAGTTAGTAAATTTCTACTGAATAACTTAGAGGATTATATTTGGGATAATTATGGCAATCATGTTATGAGGACTTGTCTGACCAATTTAATACAGTTACCTAGTGGCAAAACAATTAAAAACAACATTGAACAAGAAATTAAAATAGAAATTCCAGATGACTTTGTAGAAATTGTTAAAGAATATGGCCAAAGGCTTATTAGTTGGCCTCAATTTGATCAACTTTGTAAATCTGATTTAACATCTGGTTTTTTGCAAGAACTAATGAAATGTCTTAAAAATGTTGATTCCAAATTATTAAAAGCCTACATAAAGAAATTAATTAAAGATGTTTTTACAAATAGCAATTCTGATAATTCAAATTTGCTGCCACCTGCTTTTGGATCTCAATCTGTTATTGTTTTAATTGAAATATCATTGCAACTATCAAGTTCAAAAATGTTTACAAAATTATATACATCATGTTTTACTGGAAACTTAGTTAAATTATCCACTACTCGGATGACAAATTATGCAGTTCAAAGGTTAATACAATATTGTACAGTAAAAGAAGAATATGAATTAATTTTTGATGAATTAGTTGATCACTTCAAAGAGATATTTGAAATAGGTCACTCAGGTATTATATTAGCACTGGCAGAAGCATGCAAAAGGCATTGTACGAAGCAAGGAAGTTTTGTACAAAACTTGATGAAAGCTTTTGATTGCTTTGAACCAGAAGACAGGCAAAATAGTTTTATTCTATGTTTAAGTAGATTTATAGTTTATGATGAACATTTGAAACGAACCAATGAGAACTTACAAAAAGAAAAACTAAATTTGCATGGAACATTGATTCTACAAAAAATGTTGGACTACAATAAACCCATTAAAATAGTAAATGCTATATTAAACTTAGAGCAAACTGATTTGTTGAATTTATTTTCCAATGTGATGGGGAGCCATATAGCCGATTCATATGTAAAAGGAGCATTTGTTGGTGAAAAAAGCAGAGAGCGACTAATAAGGAAAATGATGGGAACTTACAAAGATCTAGCTCATGGAAAATATAGTTCCAGGTCTTTTGAAGCACTTTGGAATTTTGCCAATATGAAATGCAGAATTCTTATTATGGAAGAATTATCACATAAAGATGGGAGCTGGATTAATTCTGATTTTGGGAAAATTATTGCACAAAAAATAAACTTTGTTACTTTTAAAAGGAACAAAGAAGAATGGAAGAATTCAATGAATAAAGGAAATAAGAGTGAAGAAATTTTAGCAGAATTGTTAAAATAGATTTTAATTTTAGTTCCAGATTGTTTTTGATTTTAAATAATATAAATTTAATTTTTATATTGTTTTATTATAATCCCAAACTGTGCAAATAATTACTCTTTATGACCTCCTAATAAAATTAAAGATTTTATTTTAATAACCATTACACCTTTTTCATTATCAGAATTATTTTATATTACTTCAATGACTATGATAGAATTACAAACCCATGTAAAATATAACTACACAAATGATAAAAGGTTTTTTATTTTTTGATTACAGTTATTTAAGAGAATTTAATAGTCAAGACCCCAAGCACAACAGTCTTTATTCTCCTAGCCCTGAACAACAAAGTTGGCAACTTCGCATTGAACTGAATCAGGAGTGCAATTGCCAGAGGCAAATGCAGATGCATCCCACAAGTAGTTAATAGGCAAATATATATTTTTAGGCCGATTCATTAATTTCGCATTCACTTAGTCTGTTTCTAATATAAATAAAATGTACCTATATTTACACACACTAATATACTAGTCAAAATCGGAGTCATTGCAGCTGTCAGTTTGCTTCTGAATTTCCGCAAATAGAGAAGTAATCCCAGATGCCTATTTAAATAAATGTTAAGAGTCTTATTTTTTTTGCATTATTTACATCAATACAACTAACATTATAATTACAATCATTCAAAAGTCTAGATTGTCCAAAACGTTTTTCTAGTTCTATTATAAATTTTCCTGGAAGTATATATGATATTGAAAAACTGTTTAAAAGGAAACTCAATGATTTCTAGTAAAACGCAAGTACAATGACGAAGTGCCAAGTAACTTTCGTTAAATGCCTATTATTGTTTTCAAGTTTATGTCAGGTATAGAGCCATAGCACAAACTTTTTCAAAAAACGGACCGAAAATTTATTTTTACTTGAAATAGCTTTTAGCAAATTCATTTCGTTTAATAGTATTAAAAACAAGTATTATTAGCAACATCCCACCAATTTCTAATAATTTGTAGAGTCAGAAGTATTCTCATATTTGAACTCCTTTAAAGGACAAGTAGTTGATATGTGACATATATTGTTAGCTATAAAATCTTTTTGATGCTCCAGATTACTGAGAAACACTCTCTTGTGATTAAGTTTATAAGCTTTTTTTATTATAGCTTGTCTCTCATTAAAATAAAATTGATATTTTCCATGTCTAATCTGTATATATAAAATTGTTTGTCCTGACTGACTGACCTATCAGCGTACAGCCAAAACTACTGAGCCTAGAAAGCTGAAATTTGGAACATAGGTTTCTTTTATAATGTAAGCATCCGCTAAGGAAGGATTTTTGGAAATTTTAACTTTAAAGAGGGGAAATGGGGGGAGGGAGCTTTTAATGAAACTCTTTGTTCTTTAAAGTTAGAAACATGAAAATTTAAATTACAGCCACTAAGCATAAATTTCGTTCTCTTTGAAGTTAGAAAGTTTGTATGGGAGTATATATATTTTTGTTCTCTTTGATGTTCGAAACATGAAAATTGGAATTGCAGCTAATGAGTACAAATTAATATATAATGACGAGTTTTAGGGTTTTTGGATTTTAATTTTTTAAGGGGGGGGTTTTGTTATTTAAAGTTTTAAACATAAAAATTTGAATTACAGCTACTGATTAAAAATCAAAAATGATGTGTTTCATGGTTTTTGGATTTTCACATTTTAAGGAGGGAAAACGGGGGTGAAAATTTGTATAGAAGTATACATTTTTTGAACGTTGGAACTTGAAAATTATAATTGTAGCATAAATAAATAATGGACGTGCTCTAGCTGTGGTTTTTCTAATATATTATCAATTAAAATTTGATTTACACCATTAAGACATCCCCTTGAAGAGTCAACGGTATAAAAATATATTTTAAAATCCCCTATGATTTTACTTGTCTAGCTTTCCGAAACTTTTGATCTTTTTATTAAAATTAAATCCCCAAAATTTTCTATAAGATCGGCTTTTCTAAATGACTTACTTAATTGGTTAAGACGTTCAATATATGTTTTTCTTTTCTCTCATTTGGATTTTTTTTTGAAGTGGATACGGATTTTGAGAGGTATTTTGGCAAATTTGGAAAAATACAGGGACACGCATTAGGATTTTAATTTTCGCCCTAACAGAAATTTTAGTTTGACTCCATATAATTTTAAAATAAAACAATCACCCAAAATCCTTAATTTCAAGTTGTAAGTGACAACCTACTTGTATTTTTTATCAAAAATATTAATGGAGATACCTATTTTTCAATTTTAAACATATTCAGTTTTTAGCCGTTTTGAATGCATAAAACTCGAGATAAAACCTTTAGTATTCTTCATTTAAACTGCAATTTTGTCTATTGTATCACTATCAAATAATTATCAAATGCTTCATCAACACTACCACCAAATTTTTCAAATTAAAAACGGTTTAATTCTGTATTATACACTAATTTACTATATAAGTATTTTACTCATCGCACGTGGGTGTCTGGGTGAAAGTTTTAAAATGACCTGCTTAGGTTTTTTTCATCTCGCATATTTGGGCCAAAGAAAGAAATAGTAGCCCACATCGCAAAGTTGCCGTTTTTAGTCTTCTTGGCCAGGAGGATAAAGACTGTTGTGTTCCAAGTATACTTATTGGCTTTGGTTGAATCTGTTAAATTTTATATATGTTGCAGTTTTTTACCTAACAATTAAGTGTCCATGGGGACAAAGTTCTCCTATGACTAGTTTTTGATATATCAATAAATGTTATTCGCCAATTCAAAATATTTAACCAAAACTTGTGAATTGTCAATTTTCAAAAATACGTAAAGCAATTTTGTTAATATTTATAAATATCAAACGTTATGGTTTTACTCTCAAAAAACAATATCAGTCTTTTTGGAAAACAACAGTACAGTTGACGAAACCAAAATGGAAACGCCAAAATTTGATGGTGCGATTTAGTGGTTCATCCAGAGATAACAGGCGAATATGACATAGTCTAAGGGACACAGAAGGGTATAGTAACCACTTTTCTCAAGCCTATTTCGTTATTCTAGATTTGTTTACAAAATTACTTACTAATTTTCCGCTTTTATAGTTTTCGGAATTTGAGTTTTGAGAGATCTAATCATTTTAAATTCCTAGCTTAGAATTGGTGAGTTTTTTCTTTGAGCTCAAAGATTTTTCTTTATTTTGAATAATTTGTTTGGTAAACATTTAGAAATAAAATTAGATCGTCTAGGTCAGGCTTGTACAACATACGGGCCGCATGCGGCCCGCCATTGTCGTTTCCTTGGCCCTTTATCTATTGACCAGTTTGGCCCGCCTACGTCAAACTATACATTTTTCGGTAACAACATATTGCATTTAGGTATGAATTGGCTTTTTTTAGGAACTCGATAGAAGAACCTGGTCCATTATAAGAATCTGGACAGACCATCTCGAACTGCTTTATAATTATAAGCTCAGAAAGAACTCTCTTGGTCCTCGTACACTTACGGTTGTTAAACTGGCCCTTTGAAAATATGAGTTGTGCAGGCCTGGTCTAGGTACACATTACGAAATGTGTAAATCTGTAAATAAAAATAGTCAGGTATTTGATTATTAGGATCAGTAAATTGATCTACTCAAGATCAACCTATGTCCGAAATTAGTTAATATAAAAATGGAAGATTTACTTTACGTAAATTGTATGATGCAACTAAAGGGTAGCACAAAATTAATATCGAAAAACATTTGATTAAATTGGAAATTTGATCGAAAAGACAATATATTGTAAATCAACATTAAAAATAGTAAAACATAAAAAAAAATTAAACGAGACCATGCAACCGTTCCTATAATCCAGAGATAACAGATGTAACTACTAACAAATATCGTGCAGTCCTGAATATTCGCTATTGTGATATGCCTATTTCATTATTCTCGTTTTGTTTACAAAATTATTTACATATATTAAAAAAACTAAGCTAAAATAATTCAACCTATTTTATTTCAACTGAACCCAAAAAAAATTGAATCATAAGTTATATCAAATTTAACTAAATTAGATGTAATAACTTTCAATAAATTCCAAAACCTAGTGATGTTGGGTTGGAACTGGCAACAGTGTGCTTACACCGGTATGCATATTTACGTTGTTTATTATAAGCGCACAGCGCCTTACACATTTATTCATTCATAAAATAAAGTTGTATCTGCGTAAACTTCTTCTCTTTATCCCCTCTCTTACTTCTCACCTTTCGTCTTTTCACCGCGCTCACCCACAAATATAGCACAAGTAGAAGTTGGAAAGGCTTTTGCCAGTTCTCCCATTTTATAAACATAAATTGACAGGTTTGCGGCGCGGATCTCACCGAAGTGGACGCGATACATAGGCGTAGAAAATTACTTTATAGATGTTAATAACAATTTCGAGTAAATAGTTTAATAAATTGTGAATAGCTGTTGAAATTTTGTAAAATTATGTCTTGAATATTATATATATTATACATGTTTAATAATTATTTATAGTCCATAAATACATGCGATTGTCCGGTTCCGCCGGTAACAATTTAAAATTACTTACTTAATTCTATGAAACGACACTGGCAGGTAAACATTACTGCGAAATTCTCGAAGCCGTCCGACGTACTTTGACGTTTACCCTCTCTCTACCTACCAAAAAGCCTTTCCAACTTCTACTTGCGCTATACAGTGTTATAATTGTCGACTCAATCCATCGTAAATAATATTTTATCAATGAATGGCTATATCTCTGGTATAATCCATATTACCGGAGAAACTAAACTCAGCGACTATCGGCAAATTTTTTGATAATCTCAAACGACAGCTGTATCATTTAACAAATGTTATCCTTACATTATTATTAATTTACAAATTATTTTCAGAGCTAAATGATTATTTTTTATCGTCATTGTGATTAATTTGTAGTGATTTCCTTTTTAATGATGTTTCCATGTGTGACGTATAGAACGTTAGATCTCTGCTCTGAGATCCTTGTCGTTTTGGATTTTTTAAAAATATTTATTTCAGTAAGTTCGAGTTGTCTCCCGATGGGACATTTTAGGTAAAATATTTTAAGTTTTTTTTTATAAAAAATATACCTATATGCGACCAGGAGCAATTTAAATTTTACAAATTGCTTTTGCAGAGCTTAGGTAAATTTTTTTTCAATAGAAAATCAAATAATTTACCTAACCTGTGTGACCTGGAGCCGTGGAGGTTTGCTTCGCAAAAAAACTATACAATAATTAGAAAAAAACCTTAACTAATTTACTTAACCTGTGAGGCCTGAGGCTGTTTAGGGTTGATAATTTATAAAAAAAATAATACATGAAAATGACGTAAAAAACAACTAATTTACCTAACCTGTGCAACCTGGAGTCATTTAAATTTTACTGATTGCTCTCGCACAGGTTAGGTACATTAATTAATTTTTTTTATAAAAAACTCAAATAATTTACATAACCTCTGCGGCCTGGACCATCGAGGGTTGCTTCGCAAAAAAATATACAAAGATGGGCTATTTAAATTTAACTGATTGCTCTCGAACAGGTTAGGAAAATTAGTTTTTTCATTTCTTGCAATTTTTTGCACCAGCGCTGACTCTATGCCGCACAGCTTAGGTAGATTAGTGGAGTTTTTATCTTTTCTAATTTTACGTATATTTGGTTTTTCCATAAATTGCTTTTTTTATCAAATCTATTTTCGATAAAACTTACTATAGGCCAGAGCTGGTACAAGAAAAAGGTCATCACGTGAAACACAGTCAACATTGCGCAATACAAGATCTAGTAGTCTGTTTGACTTAGTAAGATTTGTATTGTTTCGCTGTAGGTCTTAGAAACACATGAATTTATGTAATATGGTCATTAGAGATAAATATAGACTTGGCAATTTGTACTTTAGTTCATGTACTCTTAAATTTTAATTTTCAATTCATGTATAGTAACTTGTGGATACCATTATATACATTATATTCTTTTTTATTTGTTCTTTAAGGCTTGTTTTTTCGATTTGCATTTTTTTTGTGGGCCGAGTTGAAAAACAGCTTCAGTTGAACTTTGCCCTTTTATGTATGTTGTATATAAAGACGTTTATTTTTATTATTATTAATACATGGCCTTCACGAGGTGTCCGCAAATCACCAATATCCCTAGCCTGTCGAGTTAGATTAATTAACGTTCTGGGAGGTCTAAGGAGGTAAATATTTCAGTGTATGACATCGATGCAGCAATGTGATGTATGGATTTTGAAGTAAAAACATAAAATTGTATTACAATGACAATAGGTATATGAGGTAAACAAAAAAAGGTAAAACAGAAAAACTTAAAACATTCTTCTCATTTACCTTAATTTTTGAAACAGACCCGGATTTAGATTTTTTAATTCTGTATCTTTATTTCTGAGTTTTTTTGAAAAAATGTATTCAAAAAAGATGTTTAAGGACACACAAAATCAAAAGTATGGAAGGCCTAAATATCAAAAATTCTAGAGATGCGTTTCTAGAAGGACTCTCTACGGGGTTAAAAGCTCCGTCTGGAACGGGACGTCGGTTGATAATAACTCACATGGGGAGTGATTCTGGATTTTTAAAAGGTGCTTTGAATGTATTTACATCATGTATGCAAAACCGGAGATTATCACGAAGATATGAAGTCCAATACCTTCGAACAATGGTTTTCTTCGGTTTTAAAGCTTGTAGAGCCTCAGTGATAGTAATGGACAACACACCATATCACAGCCGTCGAGTTGAAAAAATACCAACTTCTGCCTCGAAAAGGCGAAATATTAGATTGGTTGAAATCAAAGCACATACATGTCGACGAAAAGATGTTAAAAGTGCAGTTGTTGGAAATAAACCTACATTCATCAAATACGTCGTCGACGAAATGGCTAGTAAATGTGGTGTAGAGGTGTTGAGGCTTCCGCCATATCACTGTGAATTGAATTCTATCGAACTGATATGGGCACAAATCAAAAATGAAGTTAGTTCAAAAAATACTACTTTCAAATTGACAGATCTGAAGGTACTACTTGAAATCGCTATAGTCAATGTAACACCTGCTACGTGGGCAGCATGCATCAAACATGTCATTAAGGAAGAAGATAAAATGTGGGATGTCGATTCACGTGTTGAAGTTATGGTCGAGCCTATTACACCAAATAATAATGATAGTACTAGTGGTAGTAACTTGTTTTGAAACTGACTATTCTTAAGATTACAAATATAAACGACCATTAGTTCTCTTTCAAATAATATTAAAACATTCATTGTTATCAATGCGAGAGCAGACTAAAATATGAAACTGCAAAATAGATACTCACTGCCTAAGTAAGAAGTTTTCTCGAGTTCTTATGTTATTCTTGTAAAATTATTTTTCAGATTAAAGTAATTGTCCTTACAATAAACTTCCCATTTTATAAAATATAAATACCATTTAGTTTTCGAAACATCTAATTAAATAATTTTTACGTATCAAACCTACACGCCACTGGAATGTCTTTCCCCTTTCCGCTCGAACACTGCAACGCTCCATCAACTTGGAGATGAGCCACTGTCAATAAAATCGCACACAGACTATAGAATAATATAATAGCAATTAACCAAAATAAATTTATGCTAGAATTTTAGTTATTGAGATTTAAAAAGGATAATGGTATTTTCAAAATAAAGGAGAAAGTAAAGAAAAATAGACTATAAGACAGCACAATTTATTTGATTTACATTAGTGATGTAATAAATAATAGTAAAGTTTATTTTTGAAATTACAATTTTAAGTTGCTCTTAAAAGCGAGAACTTTGAATTTTTTTTTTATCGATACAAGACTGAAAGTGCACACTGTATAAATAACTATAAAAATTTAATTTGTATTCTACACTCAGCTTCAAAAATTGAATGACCATTAACAACATAAACACCATATAAATTAGCAATAAACATAATCTATATGAAATTTATTAAAAATACTGTAATACAAAAATATTGGTGTTTCATTTGTTAACTGAATAAGACAATTATATTAAAATTAGTAGTACTATAATACATGTGCAAAATTATATTATTTATAGAATTTTCTCTCTTATTATAAAATAAAACTTACACATAACAAATTTATATAAGTAAAAAACAAACTATTTGCACTACACTTTTTTGTAAATTATATACATTCAAATAACGAATGTATTTATTATATTTATATATACAATAAGTTTTTTAAAAGTTCAATGAACGCGGTTTTAAACCTGATGTTTTCAAGAAAGTATGCGCTTGTTCTGTAAGATCCAATTGATTTTGAGTTCGGCCACATGCAACCATAACCCATAGGGATTCGAGCTGTAACAAATAAATTACTAAATAACAAATAATAATGTTTTAACCAAAACCGAATCATTTTAAATATTACATTATTAAGCTTAAGAGGAGTTAAATTTTGTATTTTTTTATAAATATATTAATTTGAGTGCAAAGGAAACCATAGGATAAAAGTGCAAAAACAAAAGTATTATGTGAATTGCATTAAAAAAAGTTAGATAAACCGAGCTAAAGCCAAGATAGGGTTAAATTTAGAAATAGTTTTTTTACAAGAAAAAATTGATATTTATCTTATAAACAAAATTATAGATTTCTGTAACTATGAACAACTATAACTGCTCACAATAGAACTAAATTTTGAAAAAACCAAATAATATAAATGTTAGTACACACAAACGTTTAAATAACCATTTGAAAAATTACGGTGGTTAAACCAAATGTAAAAATTATATTCGCCTAAATATTAAATAAAAAATGTATCTTAAAATAAAAAATACAATAATCCTACTATTAACAATTTTTTAAGTTCTCAAATACTTTATTTAAAAACTACCAACTTTAAGTAGCAATCCTGTTCATGTTGTTTCGTAAGGATGTTCCAATATTTTGACAGGGTGTTCTACCACCATTTTGGGGGATTCTTATAAAATTTTGCAATTAGCCCTTTCAAAATGACGAAAAAATAGGTTTTTATTTTATTCTTAAAACCAGATAGACTTAGAAATTGTCTAAAATAACCGCCGCCTATTATTAGTACCATTACACCGAATAACTTTTATGATGAAACTACTGTGATATAGTTAATGTATTGTGATAAATTGTTTTGTTTACGATGTGTTGATATGTATCTTGTGGTTAATGAACGTGATTTTTCAATGCTAGATCAGTCTCATCGGTTTATCCGCAGTAACGATGACAAAATTTTTATTGAATTGTCAAGAAATATTATTTTTATTTTTTTGTACGTAATCTGTTGAATGTACGAAAAAATTGGCTTAAAGGAAAAGTTAAATGAAATACAATTACAATATCTGCCCTTCAAAAACATGACTAGCGAACCGTTTTGAAACAAAAAATATTTATTTTTTTTTGTACTTTTACGGAACGAAATATTTCGACAGAGAGTACCCAAATTACAAAATTTTATAAGAAAATCCAACGTTAAATGGTTGGTAGAACACCCTATTAACATATTGGAACATTATTAAGGAACACCCTTCATATTATTACATAAAAAATTATTCATATCCATACAACTTGTTTTATTTTCAAACAGTGGTACACAAAAGTACTATTAATAACTAAACATATTCTTATAGGTTAAGCAAAATTTATTAAAATAAAACAAACTGAAGAAAACATTACAAAACATTGAAATAAAAAGCATTTATTCAATCGTCATTTATTATAGATCCTCTACACTAGTGGGTTTCTGGTCGGTGTATTCTTTGTACTCCATATTTTTGATTTTCTAGAATTATCTCTTAATGACTTATGCACAAAAATATGAATATTTTATTTTGTCGAATTTAAAGACACTTTTACAGCCTAATTCACAAACAGTCTCTAAGATAGAAAACAATAACTCATAATGAATATACGAGTATAATAAAGTTGGAATTATAATTAAAATATCGATATTATAAACGTTTTTCAGAAAAATATTAACGACTATTTAATTTGGTTATGATTTGAGGAAAGATAACCTTATCTTTGTAAATTTTTATTCATAGTAACGATTCAGTGTGATTAAATAATCATGATATAGCCCAACTCTACTTTTTCTCCGAGTTGACGTTTTATCTTTTAGAGGTCCATAAAACTGCTTTGTGAATTAGTCTAATAATATAATAAAATTTGAATTTTTCTTTTCCCAACACCAGATCATGTTTTATATGTATATGTTATGCAGAGTGTGGCTTTTAATATATTTTTTTAATTGTTAGGGGTTTACTATCATTTTTGTATGTTCCTACTGATCCTGTCAATATGATTCATGATGCATTTGAAGGATGATTTGACCACGTATCTGTTACCTTACCGTCTCGTTTCGATGAGCAGATATTTCTGCTATTATACAGAGTGGGCCACCGGTAACCCCTGTCTGTGTAGCCAAAACGAATTGATTTTTTTTTTAATCTCACAGTTACATGTATATCGTATATTGAAGAGCGAAAACCACATAATTTTTTCATGAAAATCGTATTGTCTAATAAGCTTGAAAACCTAGTAGCGCACACCTTCACAAAATATTTTAATGCAGACTGACCTGTAATTATATTTTCAAGGCAATTTTATGAAAAGCACAGTAGTAAATGAGTTTTTATTAGCTGCTAAAAATTTTCCATTTCGGACATGGTGATTTTCCCTCTACAGCGACGATATCAAAAACCCAACAATTTAAAAAGAATTCCAATTATACGAAGTTCTCCAGAAAAGTGATATGTATTCAAGGTTAGGCAATGTTGCAAACATATTGTGGAATTTCAGGTTATTTGTTTTCATAAGGACTCGGTTCATAAACAGTTAATGTTAATAATATAAAAATGTATTTTACACACTACACAAATGTATTTTACAAACTATAAATCATTAACTAAATAATATAACAGAAGTTTATTTTTTCCTTTTTCCTTGTAGTTCTTGGGTTTTTAGGTGTTTGTGCCTTCTTCAGTAGTTTTTATTGGTAATTTTTTTTTGTCATTAAAACCTTGTTTTTTTTATATATAGTGAGTTTACATCCGAAATTCTTTGGTACAGAACTTGGAGTGTGTCATTAACATTGTTAAAGTAATTTATTTTATTCACAGCTAAAAACAAAAAACTCTGAAAAACACTATCTATAACACAAACAAATCAACAAAAGATTTGGAAGTAATTTATTTTCGACTGAAAAAGCAAACAAAAATTTCACTTAATACCGTATTTTAATTTTATTAAGTGTTATTTTGTCAGATTTTAATTAGTTAGACAAGTTCCTCTAAGTGGTCACCAATAAGATTTATTGAGGCCTAAAGATATTTTTCAAATGTCCAACTCACATTTCTAAGCAATACTAATGATATTAGTAATAACAACTGTCAGTATTGGGGTTTCAAACTTTCAAAATCAACTTAATTTAAAATCATAATAAACTTAGAATAAAGTAGGCATTTATAATGAAATGAGTCTATTGGTATTTATTTTTTACTGAATGTAAAAGTCCTATTAGAAATTGTGAATAACTTATTCAGTCAATAATAAATTACAACGGAATGAATTCTAATTACTAATAAACAGTATATTTCCTATTAATCAGTGATTAGTTAAAATTAAAGTATTTTGTGAATGATCTCTTTTGTCGTTTAAATGTAAAAAGCTCTCAAAATTATTAACTTCAGGTCTAGGAAATACTTAACTCAAATTAAAGTATAATTGGGGAAATTTTGAATAGTGATGTAAAATTCAGGGTAGTAATATGTATGAATTCTGGCTCACTCTGTACATATGTTTAGAAACGAAAAAAAAAAAAAAAATTGGTTTTTAACTGTTTCTTTTGTAGTATACAGGTTATTGTAATCAATACGATTTTCATAAAAAAACTGGTTATAGCGTAATCCTATACTATTTACTGTTGTTATAATGAGAAAAGCGAGGGCAATTCAAATATAAAATAAAATGTTTCCCATTTAAAAAACTAACTTTGATATGTATCACTTTCTTGGAGAATCCTGTATAATTGAAATGATTTTTAAAACACATAGTTTTGGCTCTACAGTTAGAGATAATACTGGTGACCCACTCTGTATAGAAACTTATTAATTGAGCCTTTTATCAATGTATCTCTTTCTAATAATTCTACCAAAGTGGGTTTATATGCGACTCCTGCATAAATCAGTAAATGTAATATTTTGATTTCACCAGTGGTCATTTGAAAACATTCTGTAACAATTTTAGATTCAATTTATTTTTTAGTTTCTATTAATTATACACGCAAATTTTTTGGAAGACACATTGCATAGAAGCAAAAAAATTAATGATTTTGTAACGACTGGCTGTTCAAAAAAAAACTTGCGTGTACTGCTAGAACTAAATTAGAATTTGGCCAGGCAAGTCTGGGGCTCACCTTTGGAGCAACGGGACCAGGTTCCTCGAAGGTGATCCGCTTGGCGGCCGTACTGCGATGACCTGCAGGGGCTCGGTTTGTTGGGGCACTGACGGGAAGCGGGCGCTGCCGGGACAAGGACATTATGCTACAATATACCACCACACACATACAACCGTTCATAACTACAATCCAAGCCTCTCGTGAAAAAAACCCTGAACGTTAAAACAGAAAACATTCCACCTCTAAACAGTAATAATAATGTTTTTAGATATATAAATATACAAATGTAAACGCAACTCTAAATTTACGAGTCTAGTTTACATAAAATATATAAAATTTCAGATTATTTTCTACATATAAATTGGATCGTTAATATGTCAAATTATTAAACCACTTATATTTTGAAGCTGTTTACAGACAATGTTTTATTAAAAAATAATCTTATAATTTTTTTTTTATTATTTATCAAAAATGAATAAATATAAAAAGGTATTTTCCTGTATAGTGAAATGTTTTCTGTCAGTTCAAAATGAATAAAAAAAGATAAGCATCTTTATTATGGTAACTTAAACCTAGTGCAAGAACAGATCATAAAAATCTTGTGCAACAAAAAAAATCTACAAATTACTTAAGAAAATAATAGTGCTATATCCTACAAATCAATAATAATAAAAAAAATAACAAACGTAGCCTGTGCAAAAATTCGGCTCGTTGAAAATAAGTCCCAACATTCTACTGCTCTAGAAATACCAACAACTAAAAATAAAATAAATAACCTTAAATCTAAATTTTGACTCAGTCACAATATTGAATAAATAAAGGCTTTGCCAACTAGACATATGACTATTAGAATGTACTTAACTGATTTTCTTATGTTTTTTTTTTTTATAAAAAAAAGTAATCCTAACATATTTTCATTTTTGAACCGAGATTATTTCTATGATCTAGTTTTTCTCATCGAGCAATAGAATGTATATAAAACAATAAATCTGTTAACAACACAAATAACAAAAAAATATATTAGATGTTCTTGCATAATAATAATAAAAATAAAAAAGGCTGACAAATAAAAAAAAACAAGCATATAAGAGTATACTTGCGTTTTCTGTGCGTTGGCATAAGCTGCAGAAGGGAGAAAGGATAGATAGGGATATGGAAACTTTGGTTTCAATTGTTTAACCATTTGTATTAATAGGACTAGACCAGATATGAAATAGGTACACATAAACAAACTAAATTAAATTGATACACAAATAAGCAAGCATATATTTAATATTATTAAATGAAGTATTTGTACTACTATTTTGGTTTTAATATATATTAGGCACCATAAACCATACACCTATTCTATATTTATTTTTTAAATATTTAGATAACAATGTAAGTTTGTTATAGAAACTGCACACAGTACTCGAAGGTAATTTAAAATTATTTACTTGGATACCTTAATAGTTTAAAACCGTATGTTTAAATCCCAAATTAGTTTTTATTTGAGAGCCTGCGAAATGCAATATGAAAAAATAAAATGTACAAATTAATTTCCAAATTACTGAGTAGGCATCTCTTTTATAAAACATTAACATTAACAAATAGCGTCAAAGAATTATTTACAAAAATATCTTAAAATTTAGGAATATACATTTAATATAGTTTTAATTAATTTTCATATTAAACATACTATATTGGATTGATTCATAAGTTCGTAGCATTTTTATTTATTTAATAAAACCAATATTAAGGGTTGTGGGTACTGTGAAAGGTATTCAAAACACCGATTACAAATCCCCAGAAGGCCCCAGTTGCAGCTCGGAGCCCACTTGGACCATAGAATGAATGGAATAATGTAATGAGCTGAACGCATGGGAAAAAGTAGGGCGTCCAAATGGTGACACATAAAGCCATCTGCGCTTCACTGCCGCATGCAAACCCCAAGTAGAGGAAAAGAAGGCTGGACCACAAGCCCGATTGATGCGAGTCTTGGAACCAATCCTGAATGGGGAGATCTGCCCCTCAGGGAAGGGCAGAGGGATGCCAAAAAGGGCGAAAAAAAGTGGCTCAGTGTTTAGAGTCTGTACTTCTAAATCCGATGGTCCTAGGTTCGAATTCCACCATTGGCCTGCATTTTCTAATTCATTTAATACATTAAAAATTAATTCCGATACAGGTTGGATTTCCCAATTATTGATAATTCACTGTTTGGTTCTAATTAACAGTACTCTTCTCAAAGTGGCGCTGGGAAACAGTAACAAGGTATACATTATGGAGCATTGAAGGTACCTAAACTGTCGAAGCAGAAGACACTAATGAAAATAAAAGAAAGTGCAATATTAAATATGTGAATCAATGAATAAACTAATCATTTCGATTGTTCGGTAACTACATGGCCTAACACAGAGATGGAACGAATTAATGAATTAATAGGTTATATGACAGTACAGGGCGATTTGTCAATTAGTTTGTATTTTACAGTGTGCCAAAGTGAACATCTTGTGTGATTTTGTAAAACAAAGCAGAACACGATTGGAATCCGCTCATTTATTTTCAATGATAAAAAACTGGATTGCCAAATGTAAGTGTGGTCGTATCAAATGTAGTGGTCGTCCAAAAACTGTTACTGTGCCGGATATGATTGAAAAAGTCCACCGTAACGTATTGGATAACCGCCGAGTAAAAGTGAGCGAAATATTGGGTACCTCAAAGGACAGTGAGCACATAATTTTGATTAAAGAAATGGAAATGAAAACATACTCGAAGAGTTGGGTACCGGGGTTGCTCACACCACGCACCGAAGCAAAAACTGAATCGTTAGAGCGTTTCCCGCGACCTTTTGGCACATTTTCGCCACAATTGACTTTTGCGCAGCTTCATAATGGTCAATGAAACCTGGGTCACCGTTACTCCCGAAACCAAAAAACAGTCCAAACAATGGACACGCAAAAGGTCTCCACCACCACAGAAGACAAACACGGTTTTGTCAGCAAGAAAGGTTATGGCAACTGTTCTCATGGAATTATCTTGGTTAACTTCTTATGCTACGTTTGTTTGAATATCCATATCCGATGCATTTTTTACATCTCGAGCGTTTGTTTATCCACATCGGACACATCTGTCCTACTACTTATACGTATATTAAATCACGTGATCAAAGATTTACATCTCTGGTGCATCCGATGTGGATAGTCAAATGCAGCATTAAAACGGAGGAAAACAATAACAACCGAGTATTATGCCAATTTGTTGCAACAAGCGACAAAATCAAAGAGAAACGGCATCATTTGCTAAAGAAAAAAAGTGCTTTTCAATCAGGATAAAACACCTGCCACAAGTATGCGAATACAATGGCCAAAATTCATGAATTAGCATTTGAATTAGGGTCTCATTCACCCTATATCCCAAATTTAGCTCCCAGCGATTATCATCTGTTCCAAACCTAAATTGTTCGGCGGTAAAAGATTTTCATCTAAATAGCTATTTGATTTATCGACTTATTATGAAGGCATTGTTATAATTTGTAATATCGTTGAAATACGTATATTGATGGAGCAGAAGACACTATTATTGAAAATTAAAATGTTTTCTTAGTTAGGCCACTTTGCTGTTAAAAGCGTATCTTCGATTATTAGATGGAGGATCAGGAAAATATGGCAAATTTTTTTTAACTTGGACACTTATTGAAAACTTATTCAATAGCTATGGCAACTGCAATGATAGTGAAAAATATATATGCCTTTCCAAAGCACTGTACAAATGGAAACCAAAAATGCTACGAACTTATGCACGCACCTGATTTATCCAAAAATGTATTAAATTAAAAGATTTTTCAACGTTTTTGTTTGATTTTATATTACCTATATACTTTTATGTTAATGAATTTTATTAAAACAGGATATTCTCAATAAAGAGAATAAAATAATTTTAAGTTACTATGATTTACTAGCAAGTGTCTATGGTTGATTAAAAATTCCTTTTTACGTTTTATGTTAAAAACCACAACCTACTAATCAATTAAAATTAATTTAGCAGCTCTCATAACATTATCACATATATTAGCAAATAAAATGTCTAAAAGTCATTGTGTACAGGCAATTAGTTCTCATAATATGTTGTAATTGGGTCGCGGAATGTTGTTTGAATCTTTTTGTTCGTAAGTTATATAGTTCGAAAACATTTTGTTTGAATACATTTTGTTCGAATATCTAATTTGAAAAAATATCCTTCCTAGACAAATGTATTGAATTTTGAACATCGCTTATTTTTAGTAATTCTTTATACACACTAAAGTACGTCTCTATTTTTTTAACTCTATAAGTCGTTTTGACTTCTCATTTTATGTAAAAAAAAATTGCGAAGCTACCCGGAATGGCTCCAGGCCTTGCAGGTTAGGTAAATTAGCTAGGATTTTTATTACTTTAATCAGAATACTAGGAAAATATTTTTAATTTCATTATTATATTATACATTTAGATTCAACCATTTGAAATCATATGTTTCAGATCAATATTACGTTTTTCATAAAAAAAATTTCAATCAAAAGTCCGCGTTGTATTTTTTTGAAACAATTACATATTCGAACAAAATGATTTCGATTAAAAAAAAAATCAAAGCAAATTACTTTTGAATGAAATGTTTTAGAGGTAATTTACTTTCGAACAAAATTCCGCGATCCGTTGTAAATACGTAAAAAAAGTAAATTATTTTTATTTTCACAATTTTACTGTGATCAGTAATTTGTTTTTAAAGGAATTTTGGAGACGTTAACAGAAATAAAACAATGCGAGATTATGTGAACAAATTATTAAAACAAAATTTAAATTGAAATCAAGTTTCAAACAACTTGTACTCTTTTAAATAAAGAAGGGAAATAAAACTTCTCAAAAATGTAGCCATCCTCAATTAAATAAATCGAACTCAAAATATAGTCTCGATATAAATTATATTAAAAAAAATAGATGGTCTAAGTGTTGATTTTTGTTTATCTCATTATACCATTTTGGTTAAGCGAAAGTTACTTTTTAACTTGTAAAAAAATTACATATTTTTAAACAAATTTTAAGTTCTTTTTATTAAAATTAAAAATAATAGGGAAAGCAGGATTGGACTGCTTATCACTTGGATAGTTTTGGAACACGAGGAGTGCAGAGTGGCCAACACTACGTATCGCTTGCTTATTATTGCCCTAGAATTTTACCCTAGGTACTCACTTTCACAGCCTGATACTCTAAGAGCCAGTGGTTTCTTATCAACTAAGTGTGACTTAGGGGCCATTTGCACTGCTAATCGTTAAGAAATAAATGAAGCACAAAATTAAATTTTTGCAAAAAAAAATGTAATTTTATGCTTTAGGCTGATGTTGATATTTATGAATAATTTAAGAGCTTTGTGGCTAGAAAGTGTCGCGAGAATCGGTTTTAAAAGTTCCATGAACTTATCGGTTAAATATCTGATCAGTGTTGACTCCATTAGAACCCCTAAAATTCCAATTTACACATATATTTAGAGATAATTTCACATTTCAAAATTTGTTAGTTTTTTATTTCTAAATTTGTAATGCAAATCATTCTTGATTTTTCGTTAGGATTTAAGAAATCATGCAGTTCAAATACAAGAAACATCCAAAGAATTTGAGAAGACAAACCTATAACAAGAAAGTTAGAAAAGGATTTTTAGACAGCCCAATACCGAACTACAATAACCATAACAAAATGCAAGATTAATCCAAAATAAATGGAAACTAAATGGGAGGAGCAGGTACGATATTTTTTTTTTTTTGGTAGGACGAGGATTCAGGAAAGGAAGTTACTATCTCCAAAATGAAACCATCCAAGTACCTTGGAGGACCCCGCCTGAGGGGGATAGTCCATCAATCCAGTCACTCCCAATGAGTCTTTCATAATTGAAGATGGTGTAGAAAATAATATCGAAGTGTCCTCACCCAATGACTTACTCTGAAAGTAAAATAGAATTTGTACAGCTGAATTTCTTTTTCAACGTGTAATTTTCATCAATTTTTTACAGGATAACTTTTAGCTCACAATGTTATTCTAAATACATTCTCTTATTATTTTAAATGTTTCAGAATATTATATTTACAAATAATAAAGATGTTTTTAAATACATTATATTGTATTTTTGTATAAGTAAATTAATTGAAAACATTACTTGTTTAATATACAGACTTGTGTAAATTTCAAATATAAGGCTACAATTAAGGCAAAACATATATAGAATTAAAAAACATTATCGTTTAAAAAATAGATGAAAATATAACGTTCCAATAAATACACAAGAATCTACATTAGATCAATCGATCTAAATAATATGAAAGAAGCATGCATTCGATTTTACTTACAGGAGTCTCAACAGCAAAAGATATATCCGATGAACTCATTTGGGATGAGGACGACGCCCATGAGGGGGCTAAAGCTTTGCGAACCCTCTTGTTAGGAAGAACATTTTCTTTGCCACCTGCGGACGCTGGACTCTTTCGTTTTCCAGTCACATTTCCAGAAATATAGCCACTTTCGTTCTATGAACAAAAATAATATTGTAACAAGCCCAAAACTATGGCATTCTTCTTTCTTCTTTCATATTTTATTTCAATACATATTTTATGGGAATGGCTTCTAATTAATTAATAAATATTAACGTGGGACACGCAAATACTTAGCTAATAATATGATAAATAAAATATATTTTTTACAATTTTCGTTTTATTTTTTTTATGTACTAACGATTAGAAGCAACTTCTAGACTTAAGATTCATTGAAATCTATCAATATTACTGGAATTAAATAAAACAAAGATAAAATAGTTTTCATAAACAAAAGAAAAGGATTTAATAACGTTCAAAACATCAAAATTTTGGTTTAACCACCCACCAGATTTTTAGTTGTTTAGTAAAAGATTTGCACAATCGGTACAAATTTCATTGAAAAACTTACAGTGACCATCATACTAGTATCTGTCTCGTAGTGTGAACTGTCTTGATCTTTCTTCATGATTTCAGTTATGTCTTCTAATCGCGAAGAAGGTGTATCAGGAAGATTCTTGATGGCGCCTGATTTCTTTTCGAGATCAGCAAGTGCTTTCTTGAAGGGCGTCGGAGTACGGGGAGTATCACTGGGGAATCGTTTGCTAGGCGTGGATGTTATGTCCGAAGTAGAACAAGACGCTATTGGTTCTAATTTAATAATGGCGGGAAGACCTCGCGGCGTGCTTAAAGGGCTGTAATCTCGGTCCTAATGAAAAAATAGTTTAATGGCGTATGGTAAGTATATAATATAAATAAAAAATGAGTAACTATTTGATAAATTTGATAGTTATTTACATTATAGTTGAATCCGTAAATAATAGACAGTCATTGTAAGTCAGGAATGTGTTAATAATGCTGACAAAGTGGCCATATGCAATACCTTTGAAAAAAGTTACTGTATATTTGCATATTTTTGAAATCCTCTTAATGAACCGATTCCAACAAACTGAATAATGTATGTATGCAAATATACAGGGTGTTTCATTAAAAAAAACAACACCGACTATGGCATACTTGCGTGAATCACCCTGTACATTTAAATTTATGTTTACATAACGCACAACTCAATTCAAAAGTTGACATGTCTCGGCATTTTTTATAATTTTCTAAAATAATGACATAAAGAATTTTATTCCATAAGTGGTTTCCACACTGTATAAAACTTTAGTGTCCGACCAAAGGTTCGGTTTTGGCATAAATCTTGCTGAAATTACAATCGCATCACGCTTGGCGGCGTTCGGCACAACGGTAACCGTGCCGCCTGCCATTTGTACCTAGCGCAAGAGCACACAAACTTCATTTCATTAGGAACATTTATTTGCTAGTAGTCATTACAGGTACCTACGTTTTAGTTCGTAACTTATTTTATAGATGGACTGTCATTGTTTTACAATCTAATTTCCATAAAAACTTTATCAATCTAATTTTAACTCCATTTTGTCAGTCCTATAATCTAGAGAAGAAAGGAGTGCAGTAATTTAATTTAGAGAACGTAGTGCAGGTTCAAGAGGTAGACATTTTATTTATACCTCATTCTTCAATGCTTATTTGTAGTTAAAATTAAAATTTTAATACATCAGCAGTGGGATTCTCATCTTTCAATACAGCAGTCGAATTGCCTAAGACTGGGATTCTTATAAAATGTTTCTCCCTATTTAACACGTAATGTGTCAAGTTCTCACATATAAATCCCTGTGCTGATCTACCTAATACAAGTTTTCGTTTAGATCAAATCATGTTTCCATGGTTTTTATTGTAATAAACCTTTTCTTTTGACAGATAAGTTAGACTTTATTTATTCATAGCCGTATCATAAATATTTTAATTGATTCGGAATTTTGTATTAGTATACAGGGTGTTTCCGAACTTGGCGTCCAAATTTGTAAAGGTGGTAGTTCGCATAATTTGAGACCGATTCGCAGATTTAATTTTTCCAAAATATTTAAAATAAAAATAATTAAAAATTTTTAACAGGTACGGTCCTGCACAGCGACGGGATCGCCTCTACTCGCGCGCGCTACGCTTAGAATCGACAAAATTGCAAATCGCATCTGTTTGTGAGTTGTAAATCGCGATGAGTAACCGATCAAGCGACTATTGCGCTACGCGCTCAGGATAGGACCCGGTCTTTCATTTTTTTTATAATGGCTCTATTTTGTTTATTATAATTTTTTTAGAAAAAAGAAATCTGCAAATCGCTCACAAATTATACGAACTATCACCCCTACAAATTTGGACGCCATATTATAATTTTACAGTTATATAAGATTGGCAAGTGCATTAGAAAACATTGCAAAAGTACAAGTACGCGTAAACGACCTAGTGGACATAAAGCATCTTTAGAAGAAAAAAATATCATACTTAATAATCTTCGAAAAGACTTTGTTTCACTTTTTATGGCTGAAATTAGCCACTGAATGTGAGACCTATAACTGGAGTATCTAAGGGGACAGTGTATAACATTATTAAAGAAGATACAGTTACAGAAGTCACACATCCGAAAAAGCCCCCAGGAAGAAACAAGACTTCTTTCGAAATGAAATTCCTACACTTAAAAAAATGACACTCAGAAATAGAAAATAGTTTCACTCTTCTAAATATATCATATTTTCATCTGCGAAAAATAATACATGAATTAAATGTTCGTTACAAAAACGTGGCAGAAACACCTTTTTAACAGAGCAAGACGAAATAATTGCGTGGAGACAAGATTATTAAAGGAAAATAGCGGACGCAAGGAATCAGCATAAACAGCTATTTTATTTAGATGAAACAGTAACAAAAATTTGACAAAATACCTCCATCAAAACTAAAAAACAAGCCTTTATGGAACGGGTCTCTTGTGGATTAAAAAATCCAACAGGAAAAGAAAATCGTTTAATAATAACCCACATTGGAAGCACAGGTGGATTATTGCTAGATGGTTTATTAATGTTCGAATCAAAGAAAACAAAAGACTATCATAAAAAAATAGATGGCCCTATGTTTGAAAAAAGGTTTCAATACATTATAAAAAAATTCAAGCCAACTTCTTTATTGGATGGAAAAAATGGCTTCATTCTAAAAATATTATCAGTCCTCCTACTCGTAATAGCAAGGCAACATAAAAACAAATTCAAAAAATATATTATAGACGAGATGGCATGAGAAAATGGAATTGAAATTCTCAGATTGCCTCCTTACCATGCAGAGTTAAATCCCATTGAACTGAGCTGGTTACAATTAAAAGTAAAAGGTTATGTTTCTCGAAACAATACAACATTTAAATTACCTGATGTGCGAAATTTGTTTTTTAAGGTAGTTTCAGATGAAAAAGGAGAACATATTGGAGAAAATGCACTGATCATGTTAAAAACGTGGTTAATTCATTTTGGAAAGTGGATATATCAATGGAAAACTTAATACGACCCTATAATAATAAATCTCGGAAAAGACAATGGCAATGACACCAAAATTTATAGTGATTTTTAAAGATTGTTCTTGAATTTTCTATTGTTTTTTTAATCTTTGATTTTAGGTACTGAAGTGTTACTTTTAATTTCAAGAGATTAAAAAAAGTTTAATCCCATTAACTACATATAATCATCCTTGTTATTTATTGGTTAAATTTAATTCATTCAATGTTAAAGTGCAACTATTTTGTCAGAAGCATAAGGTTTATTTTTATTTTTTGTACATAATATAACTTTTTTCATTCAAAAATTAATCTACGAAGTGCGTATATACCATTTTATATGCCGTGACCTTATTTATATTATAGAAAGTTATTTTGCAAAGTACGCCTATGAAATGTGACGTTATATCCCCACTTTTACTGCGCTCCTCTTTTATTCAGACTATAGTTTTTTTACATTTTTTGTTTCAGTACTATTATAATAATGATTACAAGGTGTTTGCAAGTAAGTGCGATTTTGAAATAAATATATTAATTAAGCTAAAAAAAATATTACATTTGCTCCATTAAAAAGAAAATTGATCTTAAATCTCAGATTTTCATAATATATTATATAATAAGGATAGTAAGATTTTTAATTAAGTTTATCAATAATAAACGTTAGGTACCTGAAATGTCCTTTAAACTATATAATAATACATGTCAACAAATAAATATTTTTAGTATTCATGCATCATAAACCATCCCAAACAAACCCAAAAGCATGCATAATCGGGTCTTTATCGTATGTCGTGCGTATAAAGGTTGCTAGGTAACCGCTTCAATAAATAAGATTAGATTATGTCAGATTTTATTCTGAATTGTCAAATTAATTAAATTGTTAACAAGTAACAATCTAGTAACATGAACAGAAAAATTATTTCGCAACGTTAAGGCCGCTCCGCTGCGCATCGTGGCCTTAATATGGTTGCTCATGATTTAAACACATGATACTAAATAACTAAATTTAAATCAACACTAAATGAAACTAAAAAACACTATTATAATGAGAATAATATCTAAAAACAGTAAAAAAATCACAAATACAAAATTCCGCCCAAAACAAACACAATGTAAATAAACAAATATTCTACTTATAGGTGACAAATGACAGGCGCGCGATAATTAATTTGAATCACGAAAAGCCTACTTTGGATACAAATATAAACGAAGGTTATAGTTAAATAGTTAAAATGCTGACGCGAATCGGTAATAAATTTGTTAAAATAAATTTAAAAATAAAAATATACTACACAGCACTAAACAATAATAATTGCTGTTCCTCTTGTTGGACCATGAAACTCCACACATTCATTGACATTGACAGATGTCAGTTTACAAACTTTCAGGTATACATGTATTTTTTTTTGTAATGAAATAAAAATGTAACTAGAACACAAGAAAAAAATAACTTACGGGTCTACTCTTATCTTTGACAGGTGTGGAAACGTGTCCGTTCTGGGACGCCTTGGGAGTCGAAGACATCGTTACGTCGAAGGTAAGATTAGAGATGTGTGGACTATTTAAGAATTGTGAAGGACTAAAAGGTAGCTGTTTAATTGGAGACGGACCGTTTCGTAACGGACTAAAGAAAGATGGTTTGGCCGTATCAAGCAAATCAATTTCATCGATTTTACAAGGTGCAACGTCGACTACATTTACTTCTTCGGTATCAGTACTTTCACGACGTTTTCGCGATTTTCCTCGCCTAAGAATAGGTGGCGTTGATGAACGAGGCGCATCAAGTGCGCTACTTACAGGTACATAATTTATGGGCATAATTTCTGTAACAAATTTTCAATGTATTTATTTATTTGATACATCTATTATATAGTTCGAATAAACAATATAAATAATATTTATAAAACTACTTACTAGCTTTGATGAAATTTCTAGTGTTGGTCTTCAAAGGACTTACTCCTGGAGAATTGTAGAATCCCATGTCGAAGTCCGATAAGGGATCGTCATTCAAGGGTGTCAATTTGACAGGTGATGGCTGGTTACCGTATACGTTAATGTAATTATAAGACTCAGGGTCTTTATTACTTTGAACCATTTGCGGGGGCGATGAGTTTGTTCTTTCATAAGTATTAGGCACATGATGAGAAGTCGGACTAGGGGTAGGAGCACCATTTGAAAATCCACCAGTGCTTGATTGACTACTTGCCTGGTCATACATTTCAACTGTCCATTCCTATAAATGATAAAAAATTATAGTAAAACGTTTTAGCCTAAGAGCTGGCCACCAAAATACTGTGGTATTTTCAGTACTATTCATCTGACGGTATTTAAGCTTTGTTTTCGGTAAGAATCCATAACTGCGCATGCACAGTAGTTAAAAGCTAACTCTTGGTATTGATTCTACGTTCGTGGTAAAACTGTTTCCATTCGTTATTAGTTTTGAATAGCTTATGTAATATATATCTGGAATACAGACATAATAGAAGTTGTGTTCATGATAAAAATTGATAAAATTGATAATTAATCAGACATGCACTCAAAATTATGAATTAGTTGTTCTGAATCAGTTCGAGATTCTTTCCGCGAACAAAGCTAATGTTTACCATTAAAAATGACAGATGAATGTATCTGTTTTGGTTCTTTTAACGAGAAAAACTGTAATTTTAAAACAAGGATCTAAAATCATAGAACAGTGGCTAAATCTGTATATAGAAATTAAAAATATATCATACATTTTCGTTCTTAAAAGACTGCATTCCCTCAGTGGATCCAACTTGAGAAGCCTGTGACCTCTGACCATAATGTGAATAAAAATTCTCTCCATGTCTAATAAGCGTTTTTCTGTGCCTTCCCCTTTTTGACTCCCCATTTTCCCTATTTTCCGATTCGTATTTTCTCCTCATCGTCGAGTTCCAATGGTTTTTGATAGCATTATCAGTCCTTCCCGGTAGTAATTTTGCTATCCTTGCCCATTGGTTTCCCAGTACTTGATGGGCCTGGTAGATAATTTCATCTTCTTGTTCAGTCCAAGCACTCTTTTTGATTTTCGGATTTAAATGATTGTGCCACCTTTCCCTGCATTGTTTCCCTATCCGCCCCTTGAGGTGCCGCGCTATTAATGTCCATTTTTTAGCTCCGTATTTGTTAACAAGTTCTATCACCTTTTCGTCTTCCTGTAAATAAAACAAGAATAAATTTTAAATGTTCTTTATGTAGGATTTGCTTTTATATCATCTAAATATGCTATTTTAGAAAAATATGCCGTAAAAATTAAAAAAATATACAGACAAAAAGTTGGCTATTAAAAATCGTCTACATTTTGCTAAACCGCTTAAGAGCAAAAGCTAAGTAATAATTTTATGAAACTTTAGAAATAGTAAAAAATATTTGCCTGATTCTAATAATTAGATGGTGTTTATGTTGACCAAGCCTAAGTTGTGATGTGGTTATTGTTTAAAGCAGAGATGTTTAAAGTAAAACGGTTTTCGTATTTATACAAAAATCGTGAAAATAAGCTTCAGGTTGAGGTGTATTGTAGAGTGTAGGGATGATCATGAGATACTAACGTAGATTTCTTCAATAATAATGTTTGTGAAAAGTATAGATATCTGATATACAGTGTGCCTACGTAAGTTGGTTACATATGGAAAACTTTTTTATTATTAGTTTAATCAAAAAAAATATGTATTATTTATAAAAAGTTCTGCACAGCTCGAGCCTTATACGAGGTGCGTAAAAAATATACATTTTGCTCAAGAGTAAAGTATCTTTATTTTTGACAAACCTCGTATACGTCTGATACATTTTTCTATTAATAATACATTCTTTTCATAAAACTAATAATAAAAAAGTTTTCCATATGTAGCCAACTTACGTAGGTACACTGTATATTGGAATCTTATAAAGTCAATTCATTACTGAGGCTACTGGAACATCTTTTTTTTGTAAATTCTTCTTAAAAGCCATGTTTTTATTACATGAACATCTTTGAAAGTGTTATCAAGGATAATACCAGAACAGGTGAAAATTTTTTGAGAACATTTTGTTGTTTCTTTGCAAAATATGCGTCTAAATCTCACAAAACAAAATTTTCCTTAAAATACTACGAGAAGTTAGCCGAGTGGTATTTCAGGAGGATTTGTAGAGTGAAATTTGCATAACTTGTAAGGAAACAAAATGTTCTTAAAAAAATCCTCACCTCGCGTGGTGTTTGGAAAGATTATTTAACAATACAAACAAAACTTTTATACACAACATTTACTTTGTTTCCATAAGATAATGTCGAATCTGTATTTAAAATGTATATTATTTGAATAATCAAAACGATTTTTGTCTAATTTTAGACTTTTCTTTGGCAAACTTCACATTTACATTACACATAAATCATTGATGCGTTACTCTCGTAATGAATTGAATTTTTTAAATCCAACCTGAATATATGTGTAAGCCGTTATACGCCCATAATAAACAACGTAAAAAATGCAAGCCATGTTGCCACATCTAGTACAAAATACTTGATATCCAACTTAACATTAACTAGGTTTTGGAATTTATTGAAAATTATTACATCTAATTTAGTTAAATTTGATATAACTAATGATTCAAATTTTTTGGGTTCAGTTGCAGTAAAATATATTGAATTATTTTAGCTTTTTTAAAATATGTAAATAATTTTGTAAACAAAACGAGAATAATGAAATAGGCATGACAACAACTGATATTATACCCTCCTGTGTCCCTTATAACATGTGTTATTCACGACAGCACGATATTTGTTTGTAGTTACATCTCCTGTTATCTCTGGTTGATGTACTATAGCGTTAAATAATCATACATACCTCCCCAACCAATGATGCCGTACACTAATAAGGATTGATTAAAGAAAAATAAAGAGATCTGAAGCAGTGTAAATTTAAATGTCGTATAGATATCTAAATTTTGGTAAAAAAACATCTTAACTTTTTTATTAGTTGTCTTAAATGAAAGTCCAATTTCATATACCTGTCCACAATAATCCTTAAATATTTTATTGAAAATTCACAAACTTCGTTATTCAATTCCACACTTAACGTATCCAACATTAGAAGGTCTGTCACATAATTATTATTTACTGTTGAACCACCATATTAAGCTATAACATATCGTTGAAAAGCAAAGTAGGGGGTTGCTATTGTATCTTGTTGAAACAGGTGGGGGTGAGTTCTATATTTTGTCATTTAGGTACCCCTTTCGTATCATATGATATCTTTAGTTCATGAGATATGCCCATTGTAAGTTTTAAATTGTCACCCCGTATATGTGCTCGACGAGTTCTAGAAAAGATGTCTATTTCAATTTAGATAAGAACCAGGAATGTAGGAGTATAAAAATGACTAGTACAACAATTCCATGAAATGGAGCCGTATGAACCGTTTTCAACTATGTTTCGCTAAATTAATATTGAACTTTTTCCAATTTCAGCAAAATAACTTATCAGTTTCTAAAGAGTAGGCCGCAGGGTGATAACAGTTTTGATTGTGGTGCAAATATATTAGGAATACAAATAATACATACACTGCGGTGCCCTATTTGGTTTTGATTACACCTGATTGTTAGACAGGAAGTGAGTTGTTTATTTCCCTTATAAAAATGAACTTGATTGATTTAGATACCACATAGTTAATTAATATATATTTAATTTATTAACGCTAGTTTGATTGGTTCGTTAAACTTGAAAGGTTTGTAAAATGTCAAAAGTGTAAATTTACCTTTTATTTATACAAATTGTATGATCATACACTTAAAAAAATATATGTAAAGTAGGTATTTACCCATTTTATTGTATATTATACATAAAAAAATGTTTCAAAAATAATGAGCTGTTTATTCTTAATAGTATTTTTTTTATAAGCTGTTATAATATAGAAATGTTTAACCTTTTAAAACTTATTTTATATTAATATTGGAAACTTACAAGTAATTTGTAACGGTTGATGGTCACCTGAGATAATGTAAAATGATTCTTGTTAAAGGAGGCTTTATATATTTAGCATTTATTTAAATACAAATATTTGTGACAGGTGAGTGCTCTGAATAATTTAATAGATTAAAACCATATTGTTCCAACACTAACAGAAGAAAACAGTTGCAGAAGTACATACTTGAAATAACCGTGGGGATAAAAGCTTCAGTCATGATTTGGTTGAACGCCGAATTCCCACAAGTTTGTTAAAAACCGGAAGTTTTCATTAAGGATGGCACATAGGCATATTTCACGAAAGTTAACCATATGGTCCTTTTCGACAATATCGCAGTTTTTAGAAGTAAACCGTAAAATGTTTGATGCATCTGATAACTAACATACTATACAAGTGGAATGAAATGAATGAGAAAAAATAGAGCAAACTTTACCTCAACATGACAATGGTATTATGAATTAAACTTCAAATTCATACATTTAAGGTGAATACAGCACCCCTTATAATTTTCGGACAAGGATATTTCAAAAAGTAATTTTATTAAAAAATAAAATTTAGGCAAAATAAATTAGGTAATATTATCTAGATATGCATATATTTTAAAATTTTAAATATTTTCATTTTCCGAGAAAAAAAAATAAAAAAGCTCTCAATTTTGAAATATCAATGAAAATAAATGCATTTCTCAACAGCACTATTCTTAATATAATCTCGAAATTTGAGCTGTTAACTATTTGAAATATCCTTGTCCGAAAATTATAAGGGGTGCTGTAATCACCTTAAAATATAAAGTGGTAAATGCTAGTTTAAATAATAAAGAATACTAGAATATTCATAACTTACTAAATTTTGATTTTTTTAAAGGTATATGCGGTTAGAATTTTTACAAAGCATATTATGAAGAAAATAAAGCCTGTTTGTCTTTCTATATGTATCTACTTTTTTATAACTACATTTGGTGCATGGTACATGGATTACGTAATCAACGACTACTTTGCTTTCGTTGAAGTATACTTGAATAAACAAAGTTTTGAAATTTTACTGCTGCAAATATGAAGTCTTTTATAATTGTAATTACTAAACACAAACAAACTCAATGTGGAAGTGTTATCTTTAAAAAATCTTATCATTTAAATACTGTTGCATGTAGAAATAAAATATTCCATGTTCAATAAGTCAAAAGAGATTGTTTAAATATCATCATCTACATATAAATAGGCAAAGACAAAATGGTTCAGTACCATTTTCTCTTGTTGGTAAACCGATTTTCTTATTTTAAATTTTGTTTGGTAGCTAATGAATAAAAAAAATTGGAAATAGTTTTTTTTCTCAACCTTCAATATTATGAAATCCATAAAATTAGCCTATAGAGAACATAAGCACCCTTTAATTTTGAACCAACATTACATTGACGGATAGAGGATCGTGAAAAAAGAAAAAAATATCACTTATCCCCCCACTCCTTCAACTTCCCTCACTCTTCCTCTGCCACACCTAAATGGTAAGGGATAAAAAATAACTAATAACTGGTAGGGATGGCAACGATATATCGTTTTGTAAATATTGATATATTTCATTAGAGATAAATCACTGCCCGTTTCTAAGCTCATAAAACGATTAGCGTGAGACAGATCAAGAAAACGACAAGGTGGTTAAGTGGTATATTTGAGAATAAACAAATGTTTTTAAAAATACTAGCAACTCGAACATTGATATTATTGCAATGTGTAGTTTTTCTCCAAAACAATGACACTGGCGTATTTGACAGAATTATAATTTAGTTTCAAACCATGCGCCTAGTATTGTATTTTATAAACATAAAATGGTAGCGCATGTTGGTAAAAAGAGTTGTTTCAAATAATTTTTTGAACTCCATTTTTTAGAAATTTATTTTTTTTACAATAATCAGAAAATAAATATAAGAAAAGTATATTTTTTCAATTCTCGTCGAGTAACAAGTTGTTCGAGCGGTAACATTCCTGCGATATATCACGAACCAAAGTTATGAATGACGAATTTTGTGGAATAACCGAAGGCTAAAGCTTATTAAGATTTACGACCATCAACTATTATATAATCTATAAAGTTGTTTGTGCAGTCCACTTCGCAAATAACCACGGGCAAAATTTTAAATTCAACTGTTTTCAGTTTTAAAAACAAGAATAATTTAATAATTTTTAAAAAATTGTTTAAATAAAATTGTATCCAAGCACAAA